CTGTGAGTTTGGGTTGAAGAGTTCATCCCTGATTCCCATGGTTTTGACTTTTTTGTAAGACTCTCTTGGTGACTTCTCAAATTCAAATGACGCAAACTCTTGTAAGATGGAGCAGTGTTTCTTTAAGAAATTTTCCCGGGGGGGGGGGCACTAAAGATTTTTGGGGGGCTATGCCAGTTGCAAGTGGCCAANGGGGGGGGGGGGGGGGGGGGTAAATGGACTTTGATTGAATTATTTGGTTGAAAATAACCGGTTTCAGGGGGGCGCAGGTAAAAATGAATCTTGTCCCCTGACGCAAAACACTGAAGATACGCCCCTGCTAGGGGCGTCGAAATAGGGCAGATGGTTTGGTCCACCCAGGTGTCACTTTTCCTTTATATGGTGATATGGCATTTTGGGACAACTGCAGAGTTTGAATCGTGAAAGGGATGACGACACAAATATTTGGCGGCTCATGGCGGCACTAACAGCATCTGCGTCACTAGGCAGTGGAAAGAAAATTTTGGATTATTTCAAAATCAAGAGGTGTATTTTTGAGTATACTTGAATTCGATGTTTCTATTATACCTTTTGAACAAGGAAGAGCTTGTTTTAAAGTTTTGTGGGAGGCAATATTTATCCCAGTGCCATAACTGAATTCACTCCGTTTGTGGCATGCCCCAGAGTAATCATTAGGGATAGGCTTATAATCAACCCCATAGTGTACCATTGATCAGCGTGATGGAAAAGGGGGGGGGGGCATAGTTAAAGGGGCTAAAGATAGTGGTACAACCTCAAAATGCAGGGATGCATTATTTTGGCGCATAATTGAATTCGTTGTTTCTTTCAGACAATTTTGAGGTGGTATTTCAAAGGTTCGGTTGGAAAATGGCAAAATTATCCATAATAATGGCCAAAGACAACTTAAATTTCGCACCAGCGGGACATCTAGTTATGTCCCCCTTGAGGGTACCATTTTGCCCTAGATTATTCTCGCCCTTTAAATCATTATAGTCCCCAGAAAAGTTTTGATAAATCCAAAATTTAAGAATGCATTTTTTAAATATCTGAATTTACGTTTGCAACATTCCACATTTAACTGGAGAGCAACGAAAGATATCATAATTAAAAAAATATAGGTGCCACTTAATATTAGAACCATCGTGTGCGCCCACCAACCCCTACGACTGAAGGGTGCCTCGGATATTTTAGGGGCTTAAAGATGTGATGAGGCTATTTTCTTAATTATCATCTTTCCATGCAAGGTTGTCAAAACGGAAATAGCATGACCAGCTCGTGTTATGCAAAAACAAAATTAAAATAATTATTTAACTAAAAATTGTAATGTGGCTTTTATTTTTTTAATTTTCATTATTTTTAGGGATAGCTACTTAATTAATAAATGAATTTTCAAAAAACAAAATTCAATTATAAGGGTTCCATCACTAAAAGGCACTGCAAACATTATTTTATATAATGAACGCAAATGGAAAAAACATACTATTACTTAGAATTATTAATTATAATGCTGCTACTAACTATTCTAAATAGGTCCTCATTTTACCAGAATAAGAAACAAAAACAGGTTTATTAGAAAGGTCTATGCATTATTATGGGTTTTGAAAACTGGTCATTTTTATAAATTGCATATGAGCGGTAGAACTATTTTAACTATTTTAAGAAGACATGGCTTGTTTACAGAAGACATTATATTGATTAATGTGTGATTTTATCTAAGGGACATTCGTGTGCAAATAGAGTATACATTTCCCAATATTCAGTAGATTGAAATTTTTATTTGGCATTTCAAACTACTATCGCTTTATAAAATTGCCTCTTCGCTATACTTTAAAACTTTTGTATCAAAATCCACAGAATCCATTTAAAATTGACCAATTAGGAATACGATTTTTTTTTTTTTAAACACGTCCCCCCCAAAAAAATGGAATTGGCGTGATAATCGAAATGCTAGGTCACAAAAAATAATTCTTAGCTCTCCACTGGATTCTCATCTAAAATAAAATTAATAATATAAAAAATGATGGCAGTGCCAATGGATGGGGCACTTTGTTTGTTATTCTGACCTTAAAAAGAGAAAAGCGGTTAGGAAGTTAATAATAAAAAAATATCGTCTAACGGCTAAGTATTTAAAAAAAACAAAAACAAATATGTTATTCAGGAAACTTTCTAACAAAGGTAGCACATTTAAAGAAAACAAAAGCACTTTTGATTTAATAGTTACGTGCACTATTTCTTTGCGCCTTTTAAATTCTAAGTTAGGAAGAAAAAAACACATTTTGCCTAATTTTGAGTCAAGCTTCTACGATGAACTCTAATTTGAAAACAGATTGCACATGTTTCATACACATGTTTCATGCACATGTTTCATGCACATGTTTCATACACATGTTTCATGCACATGTTTCATACTTGACTAACTATTATTAAAATTGTTGACCTTTATAGGTATTTAAATGTATTTTAATATAGTGTCATTAAAGTCTTTAAACTTGAAACTTGTGGAGTTGCAAAAAAAAATTAATCAATCAAAATAGCGACACATGCAAAGAACAGGAAGTAAGATTGGAGCGGCCAATGCCATTTGTAGAGCATCATTAACTTGATTAGCCTGCCTTAACTATACACATCATCAAATAATACTAATAATAAAGTTCATTTCAAAAACACGCTTCATCCCCAAAGGCTCGAAGCGCGGTACAAAGTCAACAAAAAACAAATCTATAATTTAAATTTAAAACAAACGCAACACTACAAAAACTAATTACAAGCATACAATGTCAAAGTCTTTCAACCCATTTCAAACGTGAGCAACACAGCTAATATGCATTAAATGGAAAATATGGTAGACAATCATCCCAGAAGGTGTTTGCGAAATAAATGTGTCTTTAAGTCGGTTTTAAAGGACTCCAGTGTCTGGATGTTTCTGAGATCGAGCCTAGCGATATTTCATAGATTTCCCTAATTACAATCGGTTAAAGGCACCAGTTACTATACCATTGTCATTTTTAATACAAAAAAATATATTCTTGTTATAGTTATATTGTTGTACACATTGTGCTCGGGGGAGGGGGGGGGCGCAGTATCCTCCCGGAGAGTTAGCTGAAAGAAACACTGATTCCTAACAATAACCATACTTTTGAACGCATGACCATCATTCCATTTGTCATTTACACCATTCCCTAGTCTAAAAGTCATGCTTTTAAAAACATAAAAAGATTGCTCACGTTTGATACCTACTTAATGAGAACTCTATTAAAATTGAAGCAAATCTAGTCCAATACAGTATACAGTGTTCTGTTTTCGCAGGCATGAGATTGCTCCAATAGATGAATCCACTCCTCTCCTCGAATATTCCACCAATACCATGTATATCTAAATGTGTGAACAGATTTAATGTAAATGTAAAGAACACCAGCGATATCTCGCACAAGCGTATTGATATTGGGTGAAGTAAGGGAAATAACCAACTGATTAAACCCAACAACAATTGACAAACATTTACGATGCTAATTCCCCTGACTGAGCTTTGGAGTAAGTCAGTAGTCTCAACTAGTGTGGCATTCACTTTTGGGAGAGGAAAAATTTAAAAAATAGGACTAGGAGTGGAGACAAATAAAAACAAGATATGTTACAAACAAGCTCATGTCTAGCACTAACTATCAAAAATAGACAGTGTGATATGTCCTGTAGAGTTACCGGTATTCAATTCATTTTTTAAAATATCTTTTTTATTTACTGGTAATGATAAAAAACATTTAAAATTAATTGATTTAAATAATTATTACCGTTTACGAAGAGATATTTCCTGATTGCAAGTGAAAGTGTTAAAGCGAGCACCTCATAACTCGTAGCATTACCAGTAGCAGATTTTTTATAATATAACTTAACTTATAAGTTATAGTTAAATACCGGTGTTCCGGGTATCCCAAGCTTATATTTATGACATGCAGTCTCTAGTCTATACGGTACTGTTTATATAAGTATTCATCTACCTCATATCAGAGACCCCATTTTCTAACCATATTTCAAGTCATTCCGATCTGTGTGGCACTATTCAGTTGTTCATCTACCCCTGCATTTAGTCTAGAATACCCTACTGGTACCGGTACTATTGACTATGGACCCATGCTGTTTGATGACTACGGTACCCGGTAGTATCAATTCTGTCTATGTATGAACAACCGCTTTTTTTTCTAGGGCTCCCACATAATCTTATGGATACCGGTAATTAAACTTTAAGTTTGCGGACATCTGATTAAAGCACTGGGGCAAAATTTTTGGACTAAACTATACAATAACTATTCCGAGTATTCCAGTATACATTTGTAAAAACCCATTGCCCCAATGAGTCTTCATAGTCATAGCCTGATACATTATCATTCATTCTACTTAAGAATACCCAATAACAATACAGGTACCAGTACAAAAGATTAGCTTAGGGGTTGGCAAACCATATTTGTAAAGTGCACCATATCTACTATTATGGTACTACAGAAATAGCATACATTTTGGGTGCTGCTTAAATTGTATTGATCTGTGGGAAACACTAGTAACTGTTTCCTTATAGTTGCTACAATAAATTATCTGTAAAATAAATATCTCATCTCTCACACTTGGTCAAAACTATGCTGTGAATGGACCATGTACTTAATGACAAGTGGAGTCTGTAAATGGCTCAGCAGATTGTTTCTTAAGACAGGTGTGTAATTTGAATATGCAAACACTCCTGAAATAGTTTCACAATGGGGGGCCTTTCATTCAACTTGGTGCATCAAAAGTAATAGTATTACTAGCAACACCACGATTTGATCGAGTACAGCACTTAGAATTCATGCATATAAATTAAATTCCAAGTTTGGAGATAGGTACCCTTAGTTGAAATAGTGGCACGCTGCAGTTTGCATACCCTGTCTTAGCTATAACTGTTAACTTGCAGCTATGAAACTATAAGTGGGTTCTATGCACAAGCACACTGCAAGCAAAGAATTTAATTCAACAAATTTAGAGGTTATTTCACAAGGACACCATTTATTGAATAAAAAAATGATTCATTTGAACATTTATCTTCACTAGGTTTTTTTTTGTCAGCATTTTTTAAACATCAAGAACATTGCGATTCTTTAAAAACACCAAAGAAGGTGAGGATAGTACTGTGCCCTCTGATCTAATGTTAATAGACCTTCTGTTCTTGGCGCTGAACAGCCGTGCGGGAGTGGTTCTTCATCAGGTAGTCTGTGAATTCCTGGTATGGGGCCTTGGTGAACACTGTCTCCTTCCATAGGTCAGGGGTCAAATACGAGTATGTCTTTGCAATGGCTGAATAAGTAGCCTTAGCTGTAATAAAAAAACAACCAAAAGCTAAAAACAGACTTGTCTCAAATTTCTAAATTGCTAATATATCCATTTCATAATTCCAAGAAAGAACTGAATTGAGCCCTAAATAGTGAACAGACAACATTTAATTACCGATACAGGAAGAAACTGACATTCATTTAAAATCTTACCAAAGTTTCCAAGAGTGGAGGTAGCTCCACTGGCAGAGGTGTAACAATCCTCAATACCAGCCATAGTGAGCAACTTCTTTGGAACTGGAGCGCTGACAATACCAGTTCCTCTAGGAGCAGGAATTAGACGCACTAATACACTGCCACATTTTCCAGTAACCTGTTAAACATAAAATAATTCACGAATTGATTGATTTGGAACTGGTACTAATCAGGGAACAACCAGTGATCACCTTGGAAACAAATCTAGACCAAAAATAAAATCAGCAACACTTGGTTACATAATAATGCATCATTACTAAGCAGGATTTAAAATCAAATTAGTTACAATCAGAACATTGGGATTCTGGCAGATTTATTGACCATTCACCACCACAAAAGTAAAAAGTGAGCAAATTTTGCATTGCTTTTATACCTCACTATATTTTTTTAAGAAAAAGACTCCACATTAGTACATGTACTGGTACCTATAATAAATTAAAAAACAACAAAAAACATAGGTCTATACGGAAATTATTAGCCCACATTGTGAGAATCTTACCTTACAGGGTACTGTATGAGGTTTTCCAATTTTGTTACCCCAATATCCCCTTCTAACAGGAATAACAGATAGTTTGGCCAGGATGATAGCTCCTCGGATGGCTGTGGCCACTTCTTTAGAGCACTTTACACCCAAACCAACATGGCCATTGTAGTCACCGACGGCTACAAATGCCTAAGGAAAATATATTATGGAAGCATTAATAATAGAAATGTTATTTCTTGAAAACAATGGCAAAGTTAAACATTAAATTTTTTTTATTTCAGTGAACGCTTAATTGATGTCTTTGCCTATGGATTAAACAAACCTTAAACCTGGTTCTTTGACCAGCACGAGTCTGTTTCTGGACAGGCATAATTTTGAGGACCTCGTCTTTAAGAGTGCCTGGTGCCAGGAAAAAGTCAATGATCTCACATTCCTAAAAACAAAATAAGATAGAAAATAGACACTTTTGTTAAATTAGAGCAACAATGAGTGAAATATATACAAATGTACTTCAACCTAGGACAGTCAGTCAATTCACTTCAAGCTGTAATAATCAGATTAGGACAGAACATTTACAAACTTTTGTGAAACAAAAAACTAATTGTATACAAATTAAAGAGTCTTCAACTGCTGCTGTGTTAAGACAGACATAAATTCTGGGAATTAAGTCTAGGGTTGCTCAAGCAAAACGAATAAATGAACGATTTGAAATACCTTAATGGGGAGAGAGAAAAGGTAAATTTCCTCTAATGATTTAATTTTGCCATCCTTCACTAGACGACCAAGTTTGGTTACTGGTACCCATTCCTTGTCCCCTTCCTTAGCACCACGTCCTCTGCCTCTACCACGACCACGGCCTCTACCACGTCCACGACCCCGGCCTCTGTCTCCAAAGCCACCACGGAATCCACCCCTCGGGCTATCACCGGCTGGTGCTGCTGCTGCGTCCGCCATTGCTGAAGATAATTTAAAAACACAATGATTTATTAAAATTGCATCAACTACATTAAGGGTAAAGAGTGGTAGCCTCAATTTTCAAAAGGTGAATATCTGAGTGATTAAGTGCGAAGACCAAGGCCCATGAAAATGGATACTGGATCGAGTGTACACTGCCGATGGATTGATTTAGTTCTAATCAACTCAAACCTTTAATATCATTTAAACCTCAATTTTGACAAAACTTCCACAGTACTTGTTTCTGTATCGTGTCAAGTAAGAATGGTACATGGTTCAAATTAATAAAAGGCCGAAAGAAGCGTGTAGTCGTTCATAATTTAAATGTATAAAACGTTCACAGTTCACCATTAAAAAAATATATGTGAGAGCCATGAGGGAATTAAAATATGTTTATAAAAAGAATCGGTATCGATAAAAAAATTTAAAAAAAGGTATAATAAATGTTAAAATCATTACTAAATTGTAAGATGCTACTGATTTAACCAATGTTTAAAATTTAACGGCCTTACGTGATTGTTAGAGCGATCAAAGAGAATAACTTCCGGTTTGAAAATAGTCACGTGACGTCAATGTACCCTAAAAAACGGATAGCAAAGGCATTACCGAAAACTAACGAAACTTGAAAGAAAGGTTATTATTATTATTTTTAAAAAAAATTAAATGACGAATTTGAAGCAAACATAAATGTTAAAATAATATTTCCTTTTATTTAATCAATTAAGTATAAAGAATTGAATTGAATATTTATTTATATAGCGCTTGTGTACCAGAAAAATAACAAATAGCACATTTTCGCAGGTAATAATCCAGTAATGCAATTAAATTTAATAATTAATAATAAAATGATCATTGAAAATGTTATGTTATAAATAAAGTAAATAAAATGTGATGACTACTTTATTTATTGCTAAAATGTGTGTAATCCGAGAAATAAAAAATGTATTGGAAGGCGTATCGCTTTAATATCTACCAGCTATTGCAAGGTCTTGCTAGTGTATGTTTCCCTGTTGTATTAATGTTAAACTTGACAACACTATACAATTACAATTCAAACTAGAAGACCAACATCTGAAATTATTTTTTATCGTCTATAACTTAATCGGATTTTTCAGCATTGTATTCTACACACAAAAAAAGTATTAGTTTGTTCTATAAATACACATATCTATAAGATGTATGGAGCCTTGACACCAAATGGCGTGGATGTCATGTTCTCAGTCACTTGTAAAATCTTTTCTCCACCCCACTCCTTTTACAACCAATCGCCGTGGACTTACTTTTCATGTCTCCCCCCCCCCCCCCCCCCCGTTGCTATACTAACTCTCTCACATGCTACTTGTCTATTACACTCTTGTTGCTATCATTTTGGATACTATATTCAAACCAAAAGTTTACTTTAATTTTTATGTGTGTTACTTGTCATTGTATGTTCGCTGAAGAAGGCTTCTTGCCGACACGTTCGTTGTTTTTGATACGTGTATGTACGGGCGTTCAGTAGCAGCGCCATATGTCCCCGTGCAGGGTTGAACCGTGGTGCATCCATCTTCTGACTAATGATGTGTGAGTGGTGGCTCGGTGAACACAAACCACATGCGCCATCTCATTCAAACCTTTTCACACCCCAAACATTTTCCTTGGACCACCTTGATCTCTGGATCCAAAAATTCGTTTCTTCAACCCAAAACAATCTCAGGAACACATCTATCCAAAAATATTTCACACCATCCCTCATAATTACCGACATCGGATTTTAAAATTAGTGCGATCGTTACCAACACCAACACACACGGCCGGGTGAATTTGGGAAAACAAGCTGATCCAGACTTATGGAACTATAACACACCACAAGGCATGAATGTCACGTTTTTATTCACATCTTAATCCTTTGCTCCGCCACTTCACGTCACGACCAATCACAGTGGACTTACTTCTCCTCTTTTCTTCCTCTTTTTGTATATATTTCTCTCACCTACTTATTTTCTGTCACAATTCTTTTGCTGCCCTCTCGGATACTACTTTTCAGCTAAGTGCTATTTTTTTTTCTTTCTGTTTGTTCGCTGATAAAGGCTTCCAGCCAACTCGTTCGTTGTTTTGTTGCGTTCCTTTTCTCAGGTTTTCCATTATTTGTTTCTCTCATTTCCTTTTTTTGCTAACCTGATTGCAGTCTATCCCCCTTATTACCGACATCTCTTCACTTATAACAAATAACAAAACATTAGGTAATGATTACTACAATAAGACTAATAGCCATATCACAATAGCTGAAAAATTAAAATTCCCGATAACTGCACATAACAATGTGCATAGCTGTGTTAATTAGACTCATAATTTCTAGATTGGATTCTTAAAATTAAAAGCAATGTTAGATAATTAAATTTGTTTTTTTTATTATTACGGAAACCGAATACATTATAAATCTGATCAAATAAATATGCGTAAATGTAATTACATGTTATCGTTAATATTAACCATTATTACAAATTATAAGGAAATATTTAATATAAATTAAAGAATTATTTAAAATAGGGCAGTGTCCATTAATTACGTCATCAATTTTAAATAATTCTTTAATTTATATTAAATATTTCCTTATAATTTGTAATCCCCCTTGTCAACAGCTGTCAAACTTTCAAAGACCCCCTAATTCAACATTATGTCAACATTTGTATAACCCCCACCCCCCAAATAAATAAATGGATCATAATATAAATAAATCTATCAATACATGTGACTTTGTGCTGATCTATTTTAAGAACACCAAACTGTACCAACAACATTCTATTGCATCTTTAGCTTGTTAATCAAAAAGTTTTTACACTTAAATTTTATAATGCAGAATCCATGAAAAGGTCGTTAAAGACTAAACATCATCTTTTGTGGAAGTAGAAATATGATTATTGTCATTATAGCTGACAATTGTAGCATAGTTTCTATTCCTAGCTGCTATCATCTTCCCAGGGAGTAGCCAGGTGTTGCTCTATCGTAACAATGGGCATAGTAGCTGATTTATCATTTCCTCTTGCGGAACTGATTTACCAGACAAGTCAAAATCATCCCCATCTAACCATTAAGCACTTAAAAAGGAAGCATTGCCAGCGTGAGCAATAATTGCCATAAGCTCTCTCTGTCATTAAAATAAAAAACACATGGTTGTTACAGATGTGAAAATGGTTTAAGATATTCATCTTTAGATAAGAGAATTCTGATTTTTTCCGATTAATATAGTTCGAGAGCGAGGCAAAAGATTGGGTACATTTTCAATGGAGATACCAATATTTTAAAATTCATTAAAGTTACAGATATTTACAAATGGTAAATATATTTTTTTTAAAATGTAAGGACCTGTTATTCCAATTTTTATAAAATATTTCTTTATTTGTAGTTGAGTGGCATGAAAATGCTATGTACGCCTATATTACATAGAATTGAAAATTTCTCAAAATCCAATGATATATTTAAGCCCTCCAAGGACTACCTACTTAATTAATTTGTACCAGGTAGTAAAAATATCCGACGAAAAGCAACAACAGGATCTAAAAGGCAAATAAAAATAGTTTAAAATTCATTTATTAATCAGCTACAAGTACAAGACCTCAGTCAGTTAGGACATTTTAACTTTGTCTATTAGATCGAATACAACTGAAATTTCAAATAATAAAAGGTGAGCATGTACAGTTAAAGAAATGGGGAAAAAAGTGAAAGAATGCATCCAAGTTCCCCTTGACCAAAAATATGTCTATATTACTCTGCAACAAAAAAAAATTAATGAAAATTAGTTGCAATTTCCCACAATAATATCTTTTTAAAATTCTTTTTATTAACATTGAAGTAAACAAATGTGACACTAACCATGACTAATACTTCAATACATGCACATAAAAGCTTTGCCAAGCTTTGAATGGCTCTTCAATAAAAAGACTGGGCGTTGGTATTATCTCAACTGAGGTTCCTTACCATGGACAAACATACTTGAGTTAGTAGATGCCCTTGTTTTGAACTGGCCCAGAACTAGCTGTAGAGGTTACCATGTGTGTCAAAGCCTACAGAATGTGGACAGAATTCTACAACTCATTCTAAGTTATGAGCTCTCCAGCCTCACATGACATTGCTGCAGAGGTTCTCTAATGGACTGATTAATAGTAAATTTTTTAAAGTTATACTGAGGGAAAAGAAACATTTTTGAAAAATCTGGACAATGACTAATTTGAAACATGGCCAAAGTTAATCACGACCAAAACCAGTGCTGACATTCAAGTGGTGAATTGAAGCATTTAGATTAAAGGATTATGGTAGAGAAAGATATCACAATGCGGTATCGGGTAATAACAAACCCGACTCGTCAGCTCAACTTTCTGTTTATAAAACATTCAAGTGCATAAATGTGAAGAGGCTAGAGGATGTTTCTTCTTCTTCTTGTTTATTTTGAGGGCCCACGATCAATGAATTGATCATTCTGGCTCCAATGTTTCAGAGGGGTTCGCGATGTTACTGTGCATGGGTTTCAAGGGGATACTTCACTGGTTGCAAGGGCTACTCAGCAGTGGTGTTAAGAACTGGGGGTTGGAATACAGGAGGCATGAGACACAAATGTGTTGAGTGTAGCGTGTTTGATGGCTGTTAAAAGATGGTTGATTGATGGATAAAGATGGTAAAAATTAAATTCTTTTTTTTTTTTCAAATAAATTTAAATTTTTCTTTTTTCACAGCTTCACATTATCATCTCATTCAACATTATGTTCAGATTATTTCACAGCTACACACTAGCATCTCATTCAACATTATGTTCAGATTATTTCACAGCTACACACTAGCATCTCATTCAACATTATGTTCAGATTATTTCACAGCTACACACTAGCATCTCATTCAACATTATGTTCAGATTATTTCACAGCTACACACTAGCATCTCATTCAACAATGACTTCAGCTACAAAATAATGCAGCCTCAAAAGATAATTAAAAATGTGCTTACTTATCCGCTATTAATTTTTATTTTAGACTTTTCTGATGGGTTATAGGATGAACTAAAGGGGCAAATAAATCTGTTAAGACAACCCCCACACTTTGGCCCAACAGGAAGACAAACTTGTTGTCCAAATCCAACTAGAAGGTGATTCACTTCACTCCATAGGTCTCTGTAGATGGAGAACAAGAATATTGTTCACATTGTTGCAAAGTGAATACACATTTAATACAAATAGAGGGGAGTTGATAAGAATGAGGGATATACTCATTTTGTTGGCTGAACGAAAATCAGAAAGCCAGATTAGATAAATTTTTACTGAATTCAAAGATTTATATTGAGACACCCTATAATTTAGTAAAGTTTGAAAAACATAAAATAGAACCACTCAGGTTGGCAGAGTAATTTGACCAAAACTGTAAGGTACTAAGAAGACATCTAATCTAATAATTAACATCCTCATTATGGAGTAATACCTAGGTAGCCAATCTTCTAGCTCTTTTCTTGTATCTTCTGGGTCTTTTGTTGGTTTTTTAACCCAACCAAGTCTGTTGGAAATACGATGAACATGAGTGTCTACACCAATTCCCGTGATGGTATTCCAAGCGCATTTCATCACAAGATGAGCCATCTTTTCACATATGAGTATGATATAAAAAAATAAATGAATAATTACAAATTTTTTGTGTGGATAAAATGCTTAAGGAAAGATTAGGACTTACAGTTACAGAATATCACAACACAATAAGCCAAAAATGTAAAATATTGCAAAATAAGATTATCTATCAAATAAAAACAGCAAAATAATTACAGTTGAGTTCAGAGTTCTGGATGTTAAATTTATATTGTATAAAAATAAATTATGATAAATCATGAATGACATTTAAAACTGGAGGTACAAATAACCAAAAAATAATTGTTTGATTACAAAATAGATTATCTCCTCACCTTTGGTCCAACACCAGGCAGGTTGCAAAGGTCTTTCACGGTGTCTGGAATGTCTCCTCTATATTCTGTTGACAATATTTCCGTTGTCTGCTTAATGTATTTTATTTTTTTCTGAGTAAAAAAAAAGGCTTGTATGTCTAAAACTGTTTTTTTTTTTTAAATGGCTTCACTTTTAGCATAAGACTCATAATAATCTATTGTCAATTATATTTTCCAACTGCTATTCCTATTTTATGGTGTTAAAATTTAAACCCTGAAATAATTGACCTATGCTGTAGTGTTTGTCTGAATTACAAATAAATATTTAAAAAAATAATTTAAAGAAAAACATGGATGGAAATTAAGACTTAAAAAATAGAAAAAAAATACCTTCCAAAATCCAACAGGATAAATCAATTTTCCAAGATCATCATCTGAAGTGGTCAGAATATTTCTTACATTGCAGCCGTGTTCTCTGAGTCTACTCATTGCAGCAGAGGTGACCTGGTCCTTTGTTTGGCTTGACAGCATTAAAGATATTAACACTTGATAGCGATAATCCTATATGGGTAGAATTTAACACAGTATCATTTGAACTCTGTTTATAATACACCATTAAAAAATGTGACAGAAAAGCTGTTTTTAACAATATGTACATCAAAATAATCAAAATACACTTGGAATCAAATTTTTAGCTTGGTACTAAAATTAATGCAGCAATTTAACAATATTGTATTACAGTGCAATGTACTTATTTGGATCAAAATGTTGAAATGATTCAAAGCACAGAAATTTACATTTTTAAGTAATTCAAATTACCTCTTAATTAACTGCTGATGTGTTAAAATTCATTAATTCAAATAATAAAAAAAAATCTAACACAAAAGCTATGATTGCTATTTTAAAATTAACAAACGAAATAAAATTTATGACTTATATTTACTTTGGGAATGGCTTTAATATCACTGATAACATCACAACCCATTGTATCGACTGGAGCATCTCTGTACTTTCGCATCTCCATGATATTCGCCAACTGCTGAGGCCACATTAAAGGTTGCCATGAGGAATCATCTGATTTCTTTGGATTTGTATAAACATATTTGTAGTCACTGTTTGCGATATGAAATACAGACAATGATCTCTCCTCATTTATATTCAAACTTAACTCTGTGGCATCTGGAGGTTCCAGTTTAATCCCGGAATCAATGCCCTGAGAAAGATAACCAGGCATCTCAGTATTGTCCTTGCACAAAGCTATGTGATTATTACTAGAAGTGCTTTTGAGATCAGTTGTATTTACTTTACTGCTTTCTTCAGTGCATTTAATACCCTTAAAAGTCTTGACAGTGTCCAACACTTGAGTTTCCACTTTTGGCTTTTTACTTTTGATATTTGTCTGAGTCTTTGATGCAGACTTTGATTTTCTGTTAAGTAAACCCTCTGTGCAGCTTTCCATACCTGCTTTTATCTTGCCTTTACATTCAGCATTGTCTTCTTTCCAACTCTTTGTTTCTGCAGGAATATCTAATGTATATTTAGATGCTGATGACATCAGTGGTGCAGAATTTGCTGTAGAAGCAAGTCGTGTAAAGTATTTAGAGGTGGTTCTTGTATTCATCATATTTTATATGTTCCTTGTCTGATGCCAGGTTTATATTTTGTTGCAATCTATATTTTGTTGCAAGATGTGAGAATCTATTTTGCCCTGAAACAAGTTAGGTGCTGCATAATTTTTTGAACTTGAGAATCAGTTGACTTCAGATCTGAAAATAAATTATGGAGTTAGTTCAGAGCAACAAAATCGAATTTAGTCTTTTTAAAAATTACTCTGACAGTATGACTGGATGTCATGAGTTGTTTTTATTCATGAAAGTTTTTGAACGTAAATGTGTGAAAATCTGGAATGAGTGATCTTTTATGTAGAAGTAGAAAAAGGTTGTAGAAGGTCAAAATAAAGTCAGTTGTTACACGAACACTGAAGAGTGAGCATCATTCATTTCTATTACAATTACTCAATAGCAAGACTGGGTCTTTGACTTTTGAGTGTTTTTAATAGAGATGGATTTATTTTTTTTATGATGACTTGGAAACAGTGGCATAGGAAAGGGGTGTAAAGGAAGCAATCCGCCTTGGGCGGTGCTTTTTTCTTTATGTTGAGGAACTGCATTTTCAGCCAAATGCAGAATTTTTTTTTAAGGAAGGGGTCTGCAAAAAGTTTTGCTCGCCCAAGACAGTACTAACCTTAGCTATGCCACTGCTCGGAAAATGCAATTTATATGGCTTTTATAAATATTCTATTCTATATCACTGGTAGTCTAGCAGCATAGGAATTCTAGGGTAGGGGAAGAATTTCTTCAATTTATAATATTATAAGGCTTACAATTTAAAAAAGGTAGGCTTTTGATTCAGAATTGCTTGCCTTAGGTTAGTCTTAGGAACAACAGAGTTAGTACAATTAACAAAGACTAGGCCTACATTTAGTACCAGTACAAAAAATAATTTGATTGATCAGTGATTGAATTGATTGACATTTTATTCTTTTAAAATTTTGAAGTTCAGCCCTAAGCTAAAGGATAGTTAGATTTAGAAATATATTATTATTTTTAGTTTATTTATAGAATTTAGTTGCAATTTAGGCCTGTAGGCCTATTTATTAAAATGTACTTTTTGTAATATAAGTAGGGACTCTTAATACAAAATTTCTTTTGCTTGCATCTGTCCCTCACAATGTGACGATGGTGTAGATTTCGCTGGACAAAATCCACAAGGTCTGGGATTATTCTTCTAGGATTATAAGCTGGTTCCCTACAGCAAATCGCCTCTCTCCAGGCCGCTGGATAACCCAAGGGAACATCATGTGGATGATACAGCTTGGCACCAGTGGTGTCGCAGTAGTTGTCAGATTGTTTCATTGTACCAATATTATCCGCCTACGGGACTCCATCTCCGGGTTTTGAATTCAGAGTTTCCTTCTCTTAGATGAGTTGCCATCCAAGGTTAACGGGTTGCATCCATCTGGGGTGCTGGTGATTTTGCTTGACTGGGCTTTGGTGAGGATTGAGCTCCAGACCATTAACTTGAGATTTGTTCAGTTTAGACCACTGGGCCACCCAAATACAAAATTAATTTAATATATAAATATAGCCCTATAAAGTTATAGTATAGCCAATAATTTTGTATGCTTTAGGCAGGGGTCAGCAACCTACACGACACGACTGCCAGACATGGCATGACACAAAGAAAACCACAAAATAATTATAAATGAAAATGACCAAAAATGTGTCTCAGACTTATAATTTATTGGCACACTAAATGAATTGGAAGTCTTACTTTGGCACGCTAATACCAAAAGCCAAAAGGATGCAAGCCCCTGATTAAAGTCATACTCAGATACTCACCACATTATATTTAAAATGCATAATTATAATTAGATCTATTAATAAATATATATATTATTAAGCCAAATAAGTTAGTAAAATCTAACAAACATTTTTTTAATTTATATTATAATCATACTCATACTAAGTCTAACTAAGTCTAAGTCTAAAACTAAAAACTAAGACTAAGTCCTAAACTAAAACCACATAAAATAGGCTAAATATTTTTAAAAAATATTGTATTATTTATTATAGATTTAGTGGGCTTAATTTAATTTAGATATACTATGACTATATTGAATTGACAATTGTCACCCAGTAGTCTACCACTTTTAAACTAGCCGCTAGTTCTTTTATCAGTAGCTGCTAGGCCTGTAGTGGTAGTTTACTATCAAAAACTACTCATTGGTGATAGATTGATGTAGTGCAGTATTGACTAAGTGTTGGAAGTCACAATTTTAAAAAAAATTACATCACTGAAGTTGAAATCACTTTTAAGTAGGTAGGCCTATCATCATCATAACCTATGACTGTGAAATTCCGACTTTTTGCATCGCCATATAATTACAATATTCTGCCCCAAAAATGTGTGCCAACATTTTAGACAGCTGTCTGATCGTGGTGCACTTCAAAATATATTTTTTATGGCTAGCTAGTCTAATTAATTCAATCCAAATAGGATTTCCAAGACATAATACACTTTTATTATTTTTCTTAATTTGTATATATTTTATGTATCGCTGCCAATGTTTTCATCGGATTCTGTGCCATTAAAAACATCGATTCTGTATGTCTGCAGACAATGCAGAGTATGCAGCATAGCATAAAGTAGCATTAAAAAAATAAACAGTAAATATCGATTCCTAG